CCAGAAGACCCATGACTTTGAATTGTGCCAGGAAGTAAAGCTTTGAAGAACGACATAGCTTATGGGATTTGGGAAAATAACAGCCAAACTTCACACTTTGAAATTCTAGACTCCCATTAAAGGGATCAACTGATTCTTAGCTTCATCAATAGCCTCAGCCTCACCCAGTGTAAAAAAGCTATAGACAGCTTCCTTTGGCAACTCCAGCAGAAATATCCAAAGCTGAACCATTATGGCTCTTGTGGCAGGCTATACCCTGAAGAGGTGTGGGTCATGGAAAAATCTGTAATCAAGCTCATACTTTGACTACATTTACGTGTTCAGTCTCTGGTCTGAATTTATTACCCTGAGATAGCAACGAAATCACTCAAACTGTAAATATAGAGTTTGCATCACTCAACCCTTAAGCCCTGATGAATCTGGATCTCCTCACAAGGTGGAAGACTCAGAGCAACTGTGCTGGATTGTGTTTAAGCAGATAAAAGTCTGGTGGCAAAGCCAGAACAGAGAAACATGACCTACGACCACACAAGGAAAAATATTTGTTTGTTGAGATACACATAACTGAATGGAAGCCTATTAAAACAAAGTGAGGCAAGACAGAAGCATTTCACAAAGCTAGGTAACTCTACCATAAACTTTAATTTGCAGGTCTCCTAATGAGTAACAGAAATGCCAACAAAATGACATTTGTGTCAATTTTTAAAGCCTCCTGCAAAGTTCCTTGAGAAACACTGATTCTGTTCTTCCCCTAAGCTTCCACTGAACTGAAACTAAAGCCTTCTTTGTTTCACTATACCATTAACATGTCTCTGTTCATCCCAAAGCAGTCAATTACTATAAAGTCTGAGACAAAAGTTCATAGAGGAGAACAAGAGGTCACAAGCACTTCAGTGGCAATGATGCAGACCTTTTCTTTTAAATGTATCTACTGATTTAAAAGAATATATTAAAATGGACATCCTGGTATGTGCTACCAGATGCCAAAAAATATCTCTAACTTGGCCATCACAACTTAACAGTGTCCTGCTTTACAGTGCAACTTAGGACAAAGAGAAATTTATTAAAAAAAAAAAAAAAAAA